CCAGGGAAACGGAAATGTCACAGCTCAAATGAGAGAGAGTGAGAGTGAGAGAGAGCGAGAGCGAGAGAGAGTGAGCGAGTGAGTGAGTGTGTGTGTGTGTGAGCGAGCAAGTGAGTGTGAGCGAGTGTGTGTTTGTGTGTTTGTGTGAGTGAGTGAGCGAGCGAGCGAGCGAGCGAGTGAGTGTGTGAGTGAGTGAGAGTGAGTGAGTGAGACTGAGTGAGTGAGTGAGTGAGTGAGACTGAGTGAGTGAGAGAGTGTGAGTGAGTGAGAGTGAGTGAGTGAGAGTGAGTGAGTGAGCGAGTGAGCGAGCGAGTGAGCGAGCGAGCGAGTGAGATCACAGGTAGAGGATCGATATCTGAGAGTCTGAGAGACACCTGTCACTTCATGAATGACTATAATATATACAGTATATATATATATATATATACAGTATATATATCTGCCAACATCATTAAGGCCCTATGATTTCCATGATGCAGAAAATGTGAATGGAATCATAAAATAGTCATAAAATGGAATTTACTGTATAACATGGAACGTCACAGAATTTGGTCAATTTTGGATGAATGAAAAAAATATATATATATTGCTGTGGACTTAATCAAATCACATTATGGACTATTGTCTGTCAGGGTTATTATAGTTAACTAGAACTGAAACGGAAAGTAAAATTAAAACCATAAAAATTTTTACTTGAAATAAAATAAACATTAACTGAAATAAAAGAAAATATAAAAAAAAAATTTATTTCAGCTAGTTGCCAACATTTCATATTTTAATTCATTTTAACTTGACTAAAAATGTGTGTGTGTGTGTGTGTGTGTGTGTGTTTATTAGTTTATATTAGGTTTAGTAATTTTGTTGTTTTTGACATTTTTAGAAGTTTTTGTTATATATGACAAAAACACAACAAAATTGCTAAAACTTTAATTAAATTTAAAACAATATATAAAAAATAACATTTAAAAATACAAACAAAAAAATAAATAAAAACAGATTAAAAATATTAATAAAAACTATAAAAATGTGAAAAAAAGTATTTAAAAAAAAAAGTATTTAAAAAAAAATCTACAAATTCTTGAAATCAAGATACATTTGCTTGAGAAGGAAAATGACTAAGAAGATATTAAGTCTTGTTTTCTGAAAAAAAAAAGAGAGATGAAAATTAAGTGACTTTATATTTAAAACAAGAAAAACGGGTCAGAAAAAATAATCTTATTTTCCCTTTGAATTAAATTTATTTTTATTAACCCATTGGCAGCTATTTTTTTTCTTGTTTTAAGACTAAACTCACTTAATTTTGATCATTTTTATTTAGAAAAAAAACGTAATATCGTAAGTCATTTTGCTTCTCAAGTAAATGCATCTTGATTTAAGAATGTTGAGATATTTGTTCTGGAAAACAAGACAAAACTACTGAGTAAGAAAATAATTTTTGCAGTGCATATCAAATGCTCTTGATACTAGCTATAAAAAGGATCAAAGCACAAGTGATAAATGCACTTTCATGTTAATTCCCAAAACATAAAATCAGCAACATACAATTTCATATTCTTATTACATTCCACATCCAAAGTAAAATCTCTCTGGTCCAAAATTCCACTAATCCACATATGAAGCAGCATTCACACTGATGAACCAGACATAAGTCATAGGTTTTCATTGAGAGTTTGCGATGCACGTGACATGAGCGACAGAGTCTGTCAGCAATGTGACTCTCTGTGTGCTAAAGTTGACAGCGGGACATTAGCAGGTTTTGCCCGGCAGAAATCATTCATTAACCCTAATGGCTCCAGATTGCAATTTATTACAGCTGTATTTGTAACCAACCATCCGCGGGGCTGGAAACGTGTCACAACAGACAAATATTGGATATTTGTCACGGACGCTGTCATTTAACGTGCGACACGTGCTACTCTTTATAGCTGCTGGCCATATTCCCAGTTTAAATTGGATATTTCTTACTAATTCAACCCACCTGCCACTACTGACATATTAAAAGCAACCTGTTATGATGGAACGGGAGGGTGACGGGACGCAGACGGGACTCGTAAACGCTCAGGCTGCGTATGGCTGCATGAGAACAGGGAGGCTCATTTATTTCCACTTTTGTCGCTGTTGTCTTCATTGTCTGCATGATTAAACCAGCGCCACGCAGCTCTGCTCAACAAACAGTCTAATTGAGAATGACCTTGGTGAATGATACATCAGCCACACACACACACACACTGATGTCTGAGATCTGGTGTGTGATGCGCTGGGGATGGATGCGTCTTCACTCTTCCGTATCGCTGAATGCTGCGTGTGTTTTTGTGCTGTTACCTTGGCTGGTTTAGACCTGTCATGGATAAATAAATGGGACACTAAAACCGCCAGGTATGTGGAGGCAACTCATTAAAACGATTCATTCAAATGATTCGTTCAAAACACCTGATTCATTTAGAAACGAAGCATGGATGGATCATTGAATCACTGACTCCAATGATTTGTTCAAAAACAGATACATTCAGGAACGAAACACCACTTTGAGATGCGCCTTAGCAACCATATAAAGTCAAAAAACACTTAAAACAACTTAGCAACCATTTAGAACTTCCTAGCAACCACTCAAAACACCCTAGCAACCACATACAGTAGCAACACACAAAAAAAAACCTCAAAGCAACTTAACAACCCAGAATTCCCCAGCAACCATTCAAAACACCCTGGCAACTGCATAGCAACGCACAAAAACTCACAAAACCATAGCAACCATTCAGAATTTCCCAGCAACCACTCAAAACACCATAGCAACCATATAAAGTCGCAAAGCACAAAAAACACTTAAAACAACTTAGCAACCACTCAAAACACCCTAGCAACCACATACAGAAGCAACACAAAAAAAGTCAAAACTACTTAACTACCCAGAATTCCCCAGCAACCCTTCAAAGCACCCTAGCAACTGCATAGCAACGCACAAACACTCTAAAAACCCTAGCAACCACTCAGAATTTCCCAGCAACCACTCAAAACACCATAGCAACCATATAAAGTCTCAAAACACAAAAAAAATTAAAACAATTTAGCAACCACATACAGTAGCAACACAAAAAACTGTCAAAACAACTTAACAACTACCCAGAATACCCCAGCAACCCTTCAAAATACCCTAACAACTGCATAGCAATGCACTAAAAACACTCAGAACACCTTAGCGACAACCCTGAATTCCCCAGCAACCCTTCAAAACACCCTAGCAACTGCATAGTAACGCACAAACACTCTGAAAACCCTAGCAACCACTCAAAACACCATAGCAACCATATAAAGTCGCAAAACACAAAAAAAATTTAAACAATTTAGCAGCCACATACAGTAGCAACACAAAAAACTGTCAAAACAACTTAACAACTACCCAGAATACCCCAGCAACCCTTCAAAATACCCTAACAACTGCATAGCAATGCACTAAAAACACTCAGAACACCTTAGCGACAACCCTGAATTCCCCAGCAACCCTTCAAAACACCCTAGCAACTGCATAGTAACGCACAAACACTCTGAAAACCCTAGCAACCACTCAAAACACCATAGCAACCATATAAAGTCGCAAAGCACAAAAAACACTTAAAACAACTTAGCAACCACTCAAAACACCCTAGCAACCACATACAGAAGCAACACAAAAAAAGTCAAAACTACTTAACTACCCAGAATTCCCCAGCAACCCTTCAAAGCACCCTAGCAACTGCATAGCAACGCACAAACACTCTAAAAACCCTAGCAACCACTCAGAATTTCCCAGCAACCACTCAAAACACCATAGCAACCATATAAAGTCGCAAAACACAAAAAAAATTTAAACAATTTAGCAGCCACATACAGTAGCAACACAAAAAACTGTCAAAACAACTTAACAACTACCCAGAATACCCCAGCAACCCTTCAAAATACCCTAACAACTGCATAGCAATGCACTAAAAACACTCAGAACACCTTAGCGACAACCCTGAATTCCCCAGCAACCCTTCAAAACACCCTAGCAACTGCATAGTAACGCACAAACACTCTGAAAACCCTAGCAACCACTCAAAACACCATAGCAACCATATAAAGTCGCAACGCACAAAAAATAACTTAAAACAATTTAGCAACCACTCAAAACACTAGCAACACAACCAAATACAGTATCAGCGCACAAAAAACACTGAAAACAACTTATCAACTACCCAGAATGCCACAGAAACGCTTCAAAACACCTTAGAAACTGCATAGCAACACACTTTATTTTTGTGATTATTTATTATGATTATTTTACTTTCTCTTATGTAAAGCACTTTGAATTACCATTGTGTACGAAATGTGCTTCATAAATAAACTTGCCTTGCCTTGCCTAAAGATACTCAGAACACTTTAGCAACCATTTGGAATTTCTCAGCAACCACTCAAAACACCCTAGCAACCAGATACAATAGCAACACACAAAAACAACTTAGCAACAACCCAGAATGTCCCAGCAACCACTCAGAACACCCTAGTAACCACACAGCAACATATTAAAGCCAACTCAGAACACCTTAGCAACCACTCAAAACACGATAGCAACCATATAAAGTGGAAACACACCAAAAACACCTCAAACAACGTAGCAACCACTCAAAACACCCTAGCAACCACACACAGAAGCAACACAAAAAACAGTCAAAACTACTTAACTATGCAGAATTCCCCAGCAACCCTTCAAAACACCCTAGCAACCAGATACAGTAGCAATACACAAAAAACCCTAAAACAACCTAGCAACCACTCAAAACACCCTAGCAACCACACACAGAAGCAACACAAAAAACAGTCAAAACTACTTAACAACTATGCAGAATTCCCCAGCAACCCTTCAAAACACCCTAGCAACCAAATACAGTAGCAACACACAAAAAACACTTAAAGCAATTTAGCAACAACCCAGAACACCCTAGTAACCACTCAGAACACCCTAGTAGCCACACAGCAACATATTAAAACCCACTCAGAACACCTTAGCAACCACATATCTACAGCCTGGCAGCAGCTTCTATCACCTGAGCATCATAAGAGTGAGTTTTTTTTCCGTTGTAATGACCCTTGAGTGTGTTGTGTTCTCTGTGAGAGGAGAACGAGGCCTGATCGCTGTGCTCAGCAGGTGACGGCGGCTCGCTGGAGTGTGTAAGTGTGTGATTCACTCATTAATGAGTCTGCGTCTCGACCTCCCTCTGTTTGTTTACAGCACACACACACACTGATGTGTTTCCCAGGAGGAAATGCAGAAAAACACCTGGAGGAAGAGAAACATCCCAGCAGCTCCGCTCGAGTCTTACAGTCTTACTTCAATCGTGTGTCATGAGGCCGCCGGATCATTAAAACGCTTCATTAGGCACCTAATATTTGAGAGCGTTTCAGTCAAAGGCTTCGATATGCATCTTAAACGATGCTCAGTCTGGAAATATCATACTTTGGAAGTGGAGTTAAAAAACTAAACTCATGATTCTATGCTCTCTGGACAACATCTATAATCAGTAGAGCTGAGTATCGACACAGATTTCACAAATTGATTTGATTCTGATTCACAAGCTCTTGATTCGATTTGGTATTGATTCGCCTGCATATCTATCAGGAACACTACATGTCAATTTTTCTCAAAGGGAAGCTGGTAATGATTGATGGTAGCCATTGACTTCCATTGTATTTTTTTTTTTCCATTCTATGGAAGTCAAAGGCAACTATTTGGTAATCAGCATTCTTCAAAATATCTTTTGTGTGTGTGTGTGTATGTGTGTGTGTGTGTGTGTGAGAGAGAGAGTGTGTGTGTGTGTGTGTTCAACAGAAGAAACTCAAACAGGTTTGGAACAAATGGAGGGTACGTAAGTGATGACAGAATCTTTATTTTTTTGGGGGTGAACTATCCCTTTAAGAAAACAGTCTTGCAACTAAGTTTGTAAACTTACTTTAATAATAATATTAAAGGTCAAAATTAACAACAGAGTCCAAACTACAAAATTCAATTTCTATTTATTTTTTGAAATAATAATCAACTCTCAAATAAAAATGTTGTAAGCAAACATTTTGCACATGAGTCAGTTTTTATATCAACTTTTTAATGATATGAAAAATGCATTAAAATGAAATGAGTTTTGCTTAAAACAAGAAAAAAAATTGCCAATGGTGTCTGAAAAATCCATTTATTTTCCCTTTGAATTTGAAGTTTATTTTACTGACTCCATTGACAGATATTATTTCTTGTTTTAAGCTTAAACTCACTTCATTTTGATAATTTTTTCAGAAAACAAGACTTGATATCAAGTCATTTTGCTTCTCAAGCAAATGCATATTGATTTATGAAAGTTTAGATGTTTGTACTGGAAAACAAGACAAAAAATACTGAGGAAGAACACTGTTTTGCAGTGTGGGGACTTGAAACGTCTGAGAAGCAGGGGACTCGATTATTCGCTGTTCATTTATACTTGCTGCTGTCTAGGAGAAACAAACGAGACTCTTTATTTGGAGATTGTGGTAGAGCTGCATTAAATAACGAGTCTCTGACAAAACCCGAAAAGGCTGCGATGATCTCATCGATGAGCTGATGGTTCGGATGAGCTCATCCTTCCTCAATTAAACTTTAACCATTAACGAGAGTTTTAAATAGCTCAAAATATCCACCGTCTCCGTTACTTCATCTGTGTCTCCATGACTCTTAAACTATGACAGTTTTGCTGATCCAAAATTAAAGGGATATTTCACCCAAAAATGAATATTCTGTCCAACCCAACAGTTGCTAGCCACTGACTTGCACAGTATTCTTTCCCATACAATGGAAGTCAATGGCTGCTAACTGTTTGGTTCCCAACATTCCTCAAAATATCTGCTTTTGTGTTCTACAGAAGAAAGAAACGTAAGCTTCGGAACAACATGAAGGTGAATAAATGATGACAGAAATTATTTGTTTGGGGTGATCTGTCCCTTTAAGAGACATTGACTGAACCATGGTGAAAAATCAAGCATTATTTTTTTTTATTATTATTTATATATTTATATTTAATTTTTTAATTAAAAAAATTTATTATTATTTATATATTCAGATCGATTTGCCTCTTTTGCGTCTCTAGAAAGGTGTTGTTTCTCTCGTCATCTGTCTCTCATCTGAGCTCAGGAGGAAATTACATGTCACATGGACTATTTTAACGATGTCCTTACTACCTTTCTGGGCTTGTCTATGCACATTAGGTCAGAAAGCTCTCAGATTTCATCAAAAATATCTTGCAGTGAATCTTTGTGGTATGCATGTTTCATCTTTAGACTTTGCTTGTTTTGAAAGTATGGAATGAATAATGTATGTCTTTATAGTTGCTAAATGTCTTTTTAGATGTGGATTTTT